CAAAATACCAATAACAAATTTCACTGAAATAGAAAACACAATCCTAATATTTATATGGAGCCACAAAAGACCCTGAATAAGCACAGCAATGTTGAGCAAAAAGAACAAATCTGGAAGCATCACACTACCTGACTTCAACATATACTACAAAGCTATATTAATCAAAACAGCATGGTGCTGGCATGTAAGTAGACACATGGACCAATGTAGCAAAATAGAGAACCCAGAAATAAACTGGTGCACTTATAGCAAACTGATTTTTAATAATTCCAGAATACACATTAGAGAAAGAACAGTCCTTTTTCCAGCACTACAAAATAGTGCTGGAAAAAAATAGAGAACCCTTGGATTTTTTCTAAGTATATCAAACTAAACTGATTACTTTTTCTCTAAAACCATCTTCTGTGTTCTCTATCTTGATTAAGATCATGTATTCTGTTTTTAACTTATCTCTTCAGCCTTGTTTACCATCTCTCTCCCTTTTACATTGACTTTCTTCTAGTTCCTGGAACTCGATTTTGTATTTGCTGATTTTGGAGGGATTATGATTTTGTTTTTTGTTTTATTTTGTTTTGGTTGTTGTTGTTTTGAAATATTCTCCATCAATCTCCCAAAATGATTGGCTCCTTCTCACTTTTTATGTTTCAGTTTAAAAAATACTCCCTCAGATCTTCTCTGATCATTGTATCTAGTGACACATCTCCATATGCAATAACTCTCATGTTCTTCATAGTGTTTATCAGTATATTATCATATACTTTATTTATATACTTGTTTAATGTCTTTCTTCACTAAGCTCATGAGAGGATGTGACTTCAGGTGTCTTATGATCTCTGTACCTTCACTATCTAATACAAGTATAATGCCTTAATATTTGTTGAATGAATAACTGACTGAATCAATTAATAAAGCAAGCACTCAATCTGTTTCTGAAAATATGAGTTCAAAAGGAATGTTCTTCCCTTGGTGCTACTGTGGCAGGATTGTTTTTTACTTTACCCATTTTCTTAGGGTCTGTTACATGCAAAGGTTCAAGCAACAGAAAGAGGACACTTTTTTTTTTTTTTTTTTGCAGTTTTTGGCCAGGGGCCGGGTTTGAACCCACCACTTCCAGTATATGGGGCTGGTTCCCTACTCCTTTGAGCCACAGGTGCCACCCACAAGAGGACACTCTTGCCTTAGCTTATATGAAATATATTGAGGGGCCTATTTTCGGAGTGCAGAAGTTGTAATTATCACATATCTATCCTTTCTTCAGGAACCAATCTCCATACTCCAGCTCCTCCATGAAAATAGAATGGTTAGAATTGAAAGGAAGAGAGCAGTCTGTTTAAGAGGGAAGACCAGGGGTTAGGCTAAAGTATCCCAAAACCAAGGCCATGAAGGAAGAAAAGAAAAAAGAAGTCCAAAAGGGAAATCTTGTTCCCTAGCATATGAATGAGTTACATCATTATCTATGTACTTGCAAAATCTATAATCTTAGATTCATCTAGAATCCTTTCTTTCTTTTTTATTTTATTTGAGACACAGTCTCACTATGTTGCCCTCGATAGAGTGCTGTAGCATCACAGCTCACAGCAACCTCAAACTCTTGGGCTTAAGTGATTCTCTTGCTTCAGCCTCCCAAGTAGCTGAGACTACAGGCGCCCACCACAATGCCCGGCTATTTTTTGGTTGTAGTTGTCATTGTTCTTTGGCAGGCCCCAGCTGGATTTGAACCCGCCAGCTCTGGTGTGTGTGGCTGGCACCCTAGCCTCTGAGCTACAGGCGCTAAGCCTATAATCCTTTCTTAAATGTCCTTCCTTCCTTTTAAAACTATTTTTATTATTATTTTTTTGCAACTTTTTGGCCAGGGCCGGGTTTGAACCCACCAGCTCCAGTATATGGGGCCAAAGCCCTACTCCTTGAGCCACAGGTGCTGCCCCACTTTCTTAATTATTATTAAAAGCTAAAAGTTATAATCTGTTCTAGTTGCGAAATTTTTCTTCCCACTCAATTCAACTCACTGTCTGCTATCATATATTTTGCCTATAGGTCACTTACAGCAAACATTGTGGTGGCATTTTAAATACTATGTTGGCATCAGTTTAACTCTCTCCCATTAGTCATTCATAATGTAGCTAGAGTGATCCTCCCAAGTATACATCTGGCCATGTCTTCTCTCTCCTTCAAGTACCTGCACAACTCCTTGTAGCCTATTGGGAAAATCCTTTATTTCTTAGGCAATTTGGATATTTAATGCTACTGCCTCAACTTCTTTCTCATTTGAAGTCCAGTAATACCATTAATTCCCTTACCATTCCATGTGCTCACATGCTTTTTGCCGTTGCTATGTTATGTATTTGCTAAGAATGACCTTCTTTCACATACTAATGATGGCCTCATCTTCTGAGTATCATCTACTTTTATGAATCCTGCTCTTGTCCACTCTGAACAGGAGTAAAAGTGCTCACCTCTGGCTTCACTCAATGCCTATTTTTGTTCCACTAATGTGCATATTTCTTATTTTAAAACTTACACTATAAACTATTGTTCTCTCTCTGTTTCCCTGAATACATTGTGGGCTCTCTGTTTGTGCCGTCTGTATGTCAAAATTATGCAATTCATTATTAAAACTATATTTAATATATAGGAAAGACATACAGTGGAAATCTTAAAAATAGGCCAGCTTGGTGGCTCACACCTATAATCCTAACACTCTGGGAGGCCAAGGCGGGACTGCCTGAGCTCACAGGTTCGAGACCAGTCTGAGTCAGAGCAAGACCTCATCTCTAAAAATAGTGCATTGTGGCAGGCACCTGTAGTCCCAGCTACTTGGGAAGCTGAGGCAAGAGAAATGTTTGAGCCCAAGAGTTTGAGGTTGCTGTGAGCTGTGATGCC